GCTTTGTAAAATCTTGGCGGCCGTTTTATGCCCACTAAAATGACCGCCACATGCAGAAGAATGACAAAAAGTGCGAATGCTATGCACCTCACTCTTCGGCACACACCGTCAGATCACTTGGTCGGAACAATATTTAAACAACTCTAGATCCTCCCAAAAATAATACCTAACCTACGAAAAGAATCAGTCTTTGTCTTGCTTAGACCAATTTTGAGGAATTTGCCCAATGGCCAAGTAATTCACAATATGTGCAAACCACAGGGGGCTCGCTCATGACACCACAAGGAGTTATTAGTCCGAAAATGAAACATGCAAAATTAGAGAGTCATTAGTATACTCAACAAGGATTCGGGAAAGGTGATCCGCCACCACATTCTCAGATCCTTTCTTATCTCGGATCTTTAGGTCAAATTCCTAAAGCAAAAAATCCATCTAATTAACCTAGGTTTGGTCTCTTTCTTTGATAGTAAATACCGCAAAGCGGCATGATCAGTGAAGACTATGACCTTAGAACCTAGGATATAAGACCGGAATTTATCTAAGGCAAAGACCACAGCTAGCAACTCTTTCTCGATGGTAGTGTAATTCAATTGTGCATCCGAGAGAGTGCGACTAGCATAGTATATAGCATATGGTGCCCTATTGACCCTTTGACCCAACACAACCCCAATAGCATAATTTGAGGCATCACACATGATTTCAAAGGGAAGTGACCAATCCGGTGATTTCATGATTGGGACGGTGGTAAAGGCCATTCTCAGTGTTTCAAAAGCCTTCAAGCATGCCTCATCAAAGATAAAAGTCGCGTTATTAGCAAGTAAACTACACAAAGGACATGATATTTTACTAAAGTCTTTGATGAACCTACGGTAAAAACCTGCATGCCCTAGGAAAGACCTAATTTGACACATAGAGTTTGGTGGAGGAAGGCCTGCAATGAGATTAACCTTAGCTTTGTCAACCTCTATGCCTTAAGGGGATACAATGTGTCCCAACACTATACCCTCACGAACTATAAAATGGCTCTTTTCCTAACTCAAAATCAGGTTTGTCTCCACACAACAAATAAGGACTTTGATTAAGTTCTGGAGACATTCCTCAAAAGATGGCCCAAACACGAAGAAGTCATCCATGAAAAGCTCTAAAAATTTCTCCACCATGTCAGAGAAAATGGCCATCATACACCGTTAAAAAGTCGTCGGTGCATTACATAGCCCAAAGGGCATGCGCCTATAAGCAAAAGTGCCGAAAGGGCAAGTGAATGTGGTCTTTTCCTGGTCAGCGAGGTACACCAAGACTTGATTATACCCCGAGTAGCCATCAAGAAAACAATAGAAACCTTGCCCCGCCAAGCGCTCTAGGATCTGATCAATAAAAAGTAAGGGAAAATGATCCTTCCTAGTCGTGGAATTCAATCTCCTATAATCAATGCACACTCGCCACCCAGTAGTGGTTCTTGTGGGGACTAACTCTCCTCTCTCATTCTCAACAATAGTGATGCCCGATTTCTTGGGCACCACTTGTATGGGACTCACGCACTTGCTATCCAAGATGGGGTATATAATACCCGCATCTAACAATTTTAACACCTCCTTTTTCACCACCTCTTTCATATTGGGATTAAGCCTCCGTCGCATTTCACGAGAAGGTTTGGTGTCCTCCTCTAGGTGTATATAATGCATGCACATGGAGGGATCTATCCCTTTCAAATCAGCCACTAACCACCCCATAGCACTTCGATGTGCCACGAGAACACTCATTAACTGACTCTCCTACTTTGCAGTCAAGTCAGATGCAATGATGACTGGTAAAGTATCATGGGGCCCTAAAAATGCATACTTAAGTGTGGCCGGGAGTGGCTTCAACTCAAGTGTAGGTAGTGTGACCAAATATGGTATGGCGAGCTCTCTCGACAGAGGAGGAAGTGACTCAAATCGGGCTTTCCACGGAGGAAAATCCGGTGTAGAAGAAGCATTAAGTAAAGCATTCACCTCCTTAACCGACCTGTCGATATCAAAATTCTGAAACCCAAAATGAGCTAGACAAGCCTCTACAGGGTCCTCTACAAGAATGGAAGGTAAAGCTTTCTCCACAATGTCATCCACAACATCCACAAATAAGCACTCCTCTCTCTCGTGGGATTGTTAGGATGCTTGAAAAACATTAAGTTTCACTTGCATATTCCCAAATGAAACTTCCATAATCCCTGTACGACAATTTATGCATGCATTAGGCGTGGCCAAGAAAGGTCGACCTAAGATCACTGGGATTTGTTTCCTAGAACTGACTACCGGTTCCATATCTAACACCAAAAAGTCAACATGAAAGTAAAACCTATCAACCTTTACTAGCACATCCTCAATCATGCCACGTGACACTTTGAGGGACCGATCAGCCAATTGGAGAGTAACAGTTGTGGGCTTCAACTCACCAAGCCCAAATTCCTTGTACACAGAGTACGGCAACAAATTAACACTAGCCCCTAAATCTAACAAGGCCCTATCAATTAAATGGTCCCCTATAATGCATGCAATGGTTGGGGCACCCAGGCCTTTAAGCTTAAGGGGAGTGTCATTCAACAAAATGGAGCTTTCTTACTCTGTGAGTATGACCTTTTGGGACGCATGTGTCCTAGATTTACCCTTATGCATACATAGGTCCTTTAGAAATTTACCATAGGAGGGTACTTGCTTAATCGCCTCCAATAGGGGGAGGTTGATTTTTACCTGTTTAAAGACCTACATCATCGCTTCCATGGATGTCGCCTTCTTATTAAAAGGGGACGGTGTATCAAGGCATTGGGGAAAGGGTGCCTTAGGCTCATGTGAAATGC